CTGCAGTGACATACTGATATATATTCATAACCGTTGGCACCGCACTCTGCAAGATGTTTTTTTTTTGTCAGAGGAGAATCAATTCCTGAACAAGGCTTGCAGCAGCCCCGCAAGAATGTGCATGCAGAGGCAAAGCTGTAGCTTTAAATCGCCTGGAGCACTTAAAAAAAAAAAAGATGATTTAGGCATAGGTTGCGTTTACGCTTTTGAATAACTTTGTTCTTTCGTTTAATATACAGTATACTGTATATGTAAACATCGAGTAGTCTATTTTGGTGGGAAATTCATTCTTTCTTGGTTAATAAAAAATGTATTGCTTTATTTGAATCAATTTTACCTGTAGAACAGGTTTTGTATTAGAGCGAAGGTTGTAAGTACATACTTTTAACGCACATCTTAACAATTAGACAAGTCTTTATAAATAATTACAATAAGGTGGAAAATAAACAACCGTGTTCAGATATTATATAGGCATTTCAGAATAAAACACGTGTCTTTAAAGAATATCGAGTGAGTGAATCTAATTTGTGATGTATGATATACCCATCATGTAATTTTTGACTGACTAAACTACTGAACATGAATATTCAAATGGTCTCTGTGTGCATTGGAAACCAGAATAGAAGGCATATTTTAATAGCGTCGAGGCAAGCGAGCTTTAACCGATGTTGCAATCGATTTTTCCCCGCTCCTTGAGAACGTAAGACGCTCAGCCACAACAATCCAACTCCCAAATCCCTGAATGACAGATTTCCTTGACTTTAACTCAGACGATCAAAACTATATAGGCTAACTCTTGTTTTATATAAATTAAATAATGGTTATATGGATCAACTCAATACTGTGCTTTATAAGAGCCTAAAATGTATTATTCATGTTTTCATATCAGAAAATGGAATAAAATTAAACAAATATTTATTATTGTACCATGTGCGTATACTCTGAATGTTCTTTGCATAAGGCAGGTTTAAAGAGTTCAAATAGGTATAATTGTTATGCTTTCCATTCTTCATTTGTTTTCTGTTATATGTGCACATGCCTAATAAATGTATGAATCTGAATGAAGATTTGGGCCCAGTGTGATAGAGAGATCTACAGAGAGACCGACAGGTATCTGTCTATATATGCCTGTATAGTACTAGGTTCATATTGTAGGTTTAGCGCGTATAATAGCAGAGCAGTGAAAACAGACTAAAGTTTTGCTGTGTAAATATAACAGAAAATGAAAATATATAAACATCTATTGCTTATTACCATTAGATATAAGATTTGACAATACAAGAATTTGCCAAGTGACCGACCATTTTTGTCCCCAACTTTGTCAGAAAATTGTGTGTGTGTGTGTGTGTGTGTGTGTGTGTGTGTGTGTGTGTGTGTGTGTGTGTGTGTGAATTATTGTCGCTTTTAGGTGTTTTCGTGATGACGTCAATGATGATTGAACTAGACAATTGGTTCCTCTTTTTTTTAATCTATATTTGACAGATCTCAAAATGTAACTTCCCAGGTAATGCTTTGTATTGTTATGTTATGTATTGTCATATTACTCCTTGAACTTGGGCTAAAAAAAGTGTGATTATAAAAGTCAGTTTAAAAAAAAAAAGTTCAGATTTCTGGTTGTATTATATATTTGGGACTGTGATTTAAGAAGCTGATAATTCAGTGTGCATTCCACCACAACGGTAATTTAATTGAGAATGAAAGGGCATGAAGATATGTATTTCAGTTTGCACCTTTGGTTTCTTTGCAACAGAAGTGAAAACATCAAAGCCAAAGACTAGAGAAAGCGATACTTGTAACATAGATTGAAACACGCAGAGATGTGCATTTCTAGATGCACTCAGTTTTAAGGAAACGTTCGGTGTTAAGAGAAATATATATTTGTAATATTTGAAATCAGTCGTTGTACTTTTGAAAATCCCTAAGTATTTTGTGATTTTAAAAAAGCAATGCAAGGAAGAAAGGTGCTTTCTCGCATCCCCAATCACAGGCGCACGTTTACGTAGAGACAAACTGACACAGGGGCACTCACTGGATCCTCTTCCAGTTCAACACTGTGGTCACAATTTTAAAGGCGCAGTGTGTTAATGCTCCCATTTTAGCGCTCTTACTGTTATTCAAACAATGCTCACTGATTTGAGACTTGCTAATGCGCAACTTTAATGTAGCTATATTGGATCTTGTAGGCTATTTCACAAAGTGTCGAAAATGTTAATATATTTTATTGAGGGTGAAGTGTAATTTGAACTGATTTGCAAACATTTCCAAACAAATACAAAGCCTGAGCTTACACATACGCAGTATCATTATGATACGGTGTTAGAGAGGAGATGCGTTTGATTTAATTGTAAACTACACACGTGTAATAAAATGCATATTTCGGACTAATAACAGACAGGAATGGCAGATGTCAACAGAGCCTTTTAAATGAGTGCTATTTCAAATATTTTTATGAATATACCTACATATTCAAACTTATTTTATTGATTCATACGTGTTTTAAATTAATATTTTCAACTTGTACATGAAGCAATAACCTGAGCACAACGTTGCCGCGTGTGGAGTGCGACCTTGAATATGAAATTAATCAAACGTTGTGTAAATAATGGAAATGTATTTGCATTGACGAATAGGTGTACTTTTCATATCACTTGGATTTTGTTTTATTATAATAAGAGATAAGTTGTGTTATACTTGTTATAACAGTGCTGTTTCACAGGGATCGTTCCCGATATAATTGTTAGAAATGTACTTTTGAAGTTATTTGCAGTTGACAAATCAAAGTGAGCTCTTCAAAAAGATAATCCAAGGTAAAATTACTAGTTTACTGCATAAGCTATTGCAAGTTCTGCCCTACATCATATAGAAAAATAAGTTAGCAAATGTTCGACCAAAACTCTTTTGCCTGCCTCTTACTTTACATTTTTATGTTTTCACATCAATAATTTGCTGGTTTCAGGAAGAAAATGTAAAGAAATATTGTACATTATTGTATCAGTATAAACACTTTTTCTGTGTTTTGTGACAAACATGGTTAATGTAGCGCAACTCGTTTAATTAATGTCAACAAATCTGGATAATATAAGTCAGACGAGTTAGCAAGAAGTTCCATAAAATGTCATACAGAGGAAAACTTCACAGAAATACGAGATGAAGAATGCAGATTCACCAGAAGGGGATTTCTGCATTTTTAGTCGTATTTGTCTTCCTACTCGTAACAGTTTAACAGTTACCGGTGCACTTTAAAAAGGCGAAATTTAATTCGGGGACCTCTTGGATTGTTTGCCAGTTTCTTTTCCGTTTTCCCAAGTTGTATCTCAAAGCCTTTCAAGCTACAGCGAGTTTGCATGCATACGAGTGTGAAGTTCATTCTTGTCTGTCTAGACTCTGATTACGACCCTGTTTGTCTGCGTTTTTTTTTTTTACCTTGACCTTGGACTTCCATGCAGCTGCCATTTGTAAGATTTGTCCATTCTTCAGTCTGTGAAGTCAACGATGGATTTATCTTTGCAAATAAGAATAATCAATGAACCCATCAAAATTATATCTAACGCACAAAACACACAACACTGTCTAAAAGTTTAAAAACCGTTCAGATTTTATAATGCACAAAGACCGTCTCTGTCTCGACGCTACACAATTGAAACTAATAACAGAGGAATGTTTTAACAGAGTATGGGACTCTCTTATTCATTCCTCATGAAACGTTGCATTGTAAATGTGCCACATCAGACCGGAAAAAAATCTTGTCCAGTGGCGATGCATTCATTCTTGTCATGACACTAGCTGGATCTGATTCAATAATGTATTCTACATTCTAGTATTCAAATAAAAATACAGCATATAATAATAAACAACTACCATGCTTGCAAAAACTGCAAATATTGTTGTATGTGTATTGTGTAATCCTGACATTGGACATTTTAAGTCAATGGGAGAGAGTGATGTTAATAAAGAATGTGAAAATGTATCCATAATTAAATTAAAAAAAAATAATTCAGCCGTATATTTTGCTGATTGTCATTGCTTTGATGATCTCATACTAAACTATGTACACATCAGCACGCGTTCCTAAATGTTGGAGGGTACGTCGAAAATAATAATTAAAACAACTCTTAAAACTGCAATTGTGTAACTGAATATGTAGGAAAATTATTTTATAACAGTGCTATACAAACATACAAATCGATGGAAAACAATTTACAAAAGAATCATGATCATATGAAATTATTTTCATAATGAAAAATACATGAAATAACATGACAGAGCACACTAATGCTTTTTTTTGCCCTGTGTAGGATGTTTTTTTTCTGTTTGTAGTTTTTTTGTTTTGTTTTTTTTTGTTGTTGCATTTTTGCATTTTTGTTTGCAGAGTATTATAGGTATTTTTATTAATAGTTATTTTGTTGTTGATTTGTCCCTTAAAATATATGCTACAGCACAGCAGTTCAGTCGTATATTAAATAACGCAAGTATTTCCCCTCAAATGCAGTCGGAAGTGAATCCTTTCCTCTAGGTTAATGACGATAACGAACAGCTGCTTTTATTGCAATAAAATAAGTATTATTATTATTATTATTAATAATATTCTGTAAAACTATGAATTTATGCACGTTTCCCTGCATGCATATATTTATGTATATATTAACGTTGTTACTGATATGCTGCGTTTGAGATTGTAGATAATGAAGGTTAAATTAAAAACAGTGCATATAAATGCATATAAGTGCTCGGACATTTGTCGGCCGAATTGTTGAGGTTGTTTTCGTTCCCCCTTAGCTTAAAGCCTTCCCCTTTAAGAACAGCTATCTCCAACCCTCTTAGCCAATGCCTGGGCACCGAAAACCTTAGAAGCCAGGCGTGAAACTTGAGCCAATAGTTGTTTAAAGGGATTATTCTTCCCACCCACAACCCAGTCTCTTTGGGATAGTTAGCATATCACGTGCCTGCGCTTTAATGAACTTGACACATGGATGTAGTCGTGCGCATGCGCGTACGTAAAATGTACTTGGAAATGAGGTATCAGTCTTGGAGTAGGCGACTTTTAAAAAGCATCGGCAGCCCGTGATATGACGACTTCGCTGGTCCTGCATCCACGCTGGGCGGACACCTTGATGTACGTGTATGAAAAAAGCCCGAATGAAAATAATCAGAATAAAAACCAAATTATGGAAGGATTGAGCGGGAATTGTCCTGCGACTCATTGCAGGGAACTGATCTCACACCCCGCGCTGGGGCGGCATTCCGGCACCATAGCGACTCACCAGGGATCCGTGTACTCGGATATATCTTCCCCTGAAACTGGGCGACAGTGCCCCGCTCCACAGACGTCATCTAGCGCCTCTCTGAGTTACGGCTACCCGTTTGGAAACCCTTACTACGGTTGCAGATTATCTCACTCGCACAACGTGAACTTGCAGCAGAAACCATGTTCATACCATCCCGCAGAAAAATATGCCGAGACGAGCAGCGCCTTGCCCACTGAGGAGCTCTCCAGCAGGGCAAAAGAGTTTGCTTTCTACCCGAGTTTTGCCAGCTCGTACCAGGCGGTTCCAGGATATCTAGACATGTCGGTGGTCCCCAGTATTAGTGCGCATCCCGAGCCACGTCACGATGCATTGATCCCCATGGATGGATATCAACACTGGGCTCTGTCGAATGGCTGGGATGGGCAGGTGTACTGTTCAAAGGAGCAAACACAGTCTTCTCATCTTTGGAAATCTCCGTTTCCAGGTATGTCTTGCCATAACTGTGTAACCATGAAAGAATGAAAAATGCATATGTAATAAAGGGATGATACGACTTCCTGTTATGATATGATATACTTTTCCCCAACTGTAAACTGAATGTGCAAAGTATTCGCCTAAATTAAATGTGTAAATATATATTCTTCACGAAAAGTAATCAGTTGATAAGAGCTTTCAACTCACAACTCTACATAATGGATTAAGACTGCGCATCCAGAAGGTCTGCATGAACCTGCCAAATGTGTAGATTTTGTTCTATTAATTTTTGACATGTGACAGTCGGTAAATGTTCAATTGGCTTTCCACAACAAGAATTTGAGCGAATCCTAAACTCAAGTTTCAGCAAGACTGAGTTTAGTTCGCCTAAAATATACTTTTTATTTACTACGTCTTACATAAAATAGTACAATGTTTGAGGGACGTATCTGGTTACAGAAGTTAGTCATATATTAACTCGAATATTATTGAGTCACAGGATTCTAAAGCTAGGAAAGTCACGCAATTTGGAACTGGGGTATGGCAATACTGTCTACCTTTGCTCCTCCCGTATGATAACACAGAAGGTCCTTATTTGTAGCACGCATATAAATCTTTGTCAGCAGTGATCGGGAGTGGTGCCCCGCAATCTGTTATGGACATTTTGCGAATGCCATGGTGCAGCATTTTTTCCCCTAAGAGCAGCTGACGTTCTGTAGTCAAGTTATTGATTTTAGCTGTGAGCAAAAATATTGCATATGATGCAAATGCCAACTCAGTCATTCAGTATTGTTACTCAGCTGTGGCAAATCAAAATTACCAGTGCTATGTAGGTATTCACTGTAATTTCAGATCTAGTGAATTGTCACCACCATCACGCCCCTGACCCGTTTAGCAACCCTCCCCCCTAGAAGAGGTCACATACACAGGTAGCCATATATTCATATAGCCACAAATAAGGATATAACAAAATGAGCTTGTTTAATGCAGTCCTTTTGATGAAAAGCATCTATTGCTGTTTTCGTACATGCCCCAAACCAGTTCTTTACAGTTTCTTCAAGTGTGTTTGGGGCCGTTAGACAATAATTCGTGGCTGACAGAAGAACAGAGGACATGCCTCTAAAACATTATGTACCAGTTTACTAACAGGGAAAATCCTAGAACACATCTGAATGTGTCTGTGCATCAGCTGCCAGAGTAGCCTAATATCCTTCACCTTATTTTACCTTTACTGTGCCACAGTCAGGTTGTGATTTTGGAAAAAGAATGTTGCTGGGCGTTAGTACTGATTTATAATACACATTATAATTAAGGTATACGTGATTTTACATAATAGTATACTGCATTATAACTGACAAACACTTGTCAATGCTACCCACAATCCTGTCAAGAATTTAAATTCAGGGTGATTTGGTCTTTTCACAAACCCCATCCATCCAAACTTTACTCGAGAAAGATTTATTCTTATCTGTACATCAGTGCTGGTTAAAAACCTGTTCTGTTAGGCTACTCCAATGCTTGGAAAGAAAAAAACAAAACCTGATGCATCGTAAAATTAATCGAAAAATATCTCCCATCCACCTATAGATATATAAGTAGTTAATATTATTTTTTATATATATTATTTTTGATTCAATAAACAAAGTAGCTCACAAAAGGAACATAGCTGCCTCTTTGTTCATTTGACAGTATTGCCCCGAGATATTTAATTCATTTGACGAAACAATTAAATGCTTAATTAAATAGCCTAACTCATGGTGTTTCCCCAAAGTGTCGAATTGAACCAAACTTTCGTAATCTTTCATTTGTGCCTCACTAGGCATAACAAGTTATAATAATATTTTCATTTATGTTTTGTTTTTTTAGATGTTGTTCCGTTGCAGCCAGAAGTCGGCAGGACGCATCTCTGCGACAACCAACCTCTCAGAACGCCAAGTTACTATTTGGTTCCAGAACCGCAGAGTGAAGGAGAAAAAGTTTGTCAGTAAATCCAAGACTAATAATAATAATCACATGCATACTTGATGTATGTTTCGTGCTTTTTTCCCGCCAGCTTATACCCTTCTGTCCAGAAAGTCTGATATTTACCTCCGTTCAGAAATCGTGAATGAAGAACATCCGGGCAGCCTCAAGCCTAACCTGTCTTCTTTCACTTTATTTAATTTAAATCATGCACACAATACCATAACCGCTCACTCTTTAGCTTTTTGGGCATATGATACAAAACTGTGAAAATACAGAAAAAAATAAAACATTTCAACTTCGTCCTTTTGTATGAATGTACATATATAAATAATAAATATTTAAAATTACACAAATATCAAAGAGACACATGGTTTACGTGCATCTGAAAATAAAGGGAGAAGCAACCCTTCTGCATCTCTTCCTGAGTGCATCAAAGCCAACCAGCCAGCAGAAAACACTCGAGGTGCTCAACACGCACGAGAAGAAGAGAGAGAGAAACAAAAAAAATTCTGTGAGACACTTTGGTTGAATCAAGACTTGTATGAACTCTCGAAAGGCTGTAGCAAATGTTGAACTGGATCATGAATAGAACCGTCATTTGTTTTTCGTGGAAATGACAAAGATTTTGCTTGAATGAGCCTGCGAGACTTCAAAAGCTATATGGATCACTGTGGGATACATTGCTTTTTAATGCCGAGGGTAAACCAGGCTGCTAATGTTAACTGTACAGTTTAATGCTTCTATTATTTAATTTAGATTTCGCGTATGACAGGTCTGTAAAAAAGGAATGTTTCAAGATCATTTGTATATGTCCCTATTAGCAGTGAAGGATATGACTCTGCCATGCAACTGGAATGATTGTACGCATTTAAAATCATTTAGTATTAAACATTAATGCACAACCTTTTTGTTTTTATATAGAAATATATATCGTAAAGCATTGGAGCTGTTCACACAACTTGTCTGTATCTCTTTTCGTGCAGTATGTGAACTGTATTGTGGTGTTCAATTCCTAAAGTACTGAATTGAGACATATTTCATAAATAAAAATGACAATGGAATGTTGCTTGTAGTGAATCAGTGCATTTCAATTATCAGTGACGGAGGTGGCCCATTTATGGCCGCTTCCATACATACATATGTGTCCATCTCTGTTTGATAAAGCTTGCAAGTGAGCTCTTACAATAGATGCGATGTTTTTGTCATTTTGGTGAGGGTTTTTCAATAGACTTCATGTGCGTAGGCTACATATTGCAAATAACTTTATTCATCGATAGTAGTTGCTCGGGGTTACCTACAATATAGTGAAAAAAACACACAACTTTCATATTAGTGACAAGACCGGATAGTATTGACGATTGCAAATGATATAGTATGATCAGTAAACCTTTTACTCAAACAGTCGATTTAGATACATAGTTTAAATGTTAGCAGTCCAAAATTGAACGCCGAGTTTAATTTGAACCAGAATGCTCAAGCGACGGGGCTTCCAGTAGGCCTTACATATTTTAATAATTCAAGCAGTGCACTACACAGTGCGCGTAGTGTTTATTTACTTAAGTATAGTGCTAATAATATAATTCTTCATTATAATTATATTCAGTATTATCGTTAATTTCGAGTAGTGCTCGATTTAAAAGTCTGCTCCATTTGTCGGTAATATTACCACAATTTAACTAATGTTTTTGAACCATAAATACGAACAAATAATTTGATGAAATGTCACTACGAATATGCCACAGCAACATTTAGATACAGTATGATCTTCAGCGTTTCCTACTGGATCACAAGGATTATGTATGGTCGGAAGCATAGCATTCATCTAATGCTTACACATTTCCTTTATCAACTTATTAACTTTTCAATATTCATTAAATAAAAGAAACTACCTGAAGCACTGTTAATGGTCTAATTTCTTTTAACTACTTTTTCTTGTGACTTTTTCTTAGGCTACATTCAAGGAATAAATTAAATGCTGTCAACTTCCTGTTATAACTAATTTGCTAAAGACGGTGGTGTACCGGACAGTTCGAGTCTTACAATAATCAGGAGAGGATAATTAATCAGACATGATTTAATTAATATTGTGTCAACAAATTATGTTTTTAAACCGTTTTTAGCTGAGTTAATATTCTAAGATCTAGAAAATAGGCTTGTTGATTTTTATTTAAAGGTTTCTGATTTTTTGATCGCGGTTGATCTTTACACTCACACACACACACACACACACACACATACATATAGGCTACATACATAGTGTGTGTGTGTGTATGTGTGTGCATATATATATATATATATATATATATATACATACATACATACATATATACATACGTGTGTGTATATATATATATATATATATATATTATAAAATCTAGTATAGTTTTAACCAGGCTCTAATAGCTAACTCGCCTTAAGATACTAGAAGTGCTGTTAAATGTACAATTGAAGGGCGTATATGAGCAAAAGTAGATATTGTATGAATATAAGAAACTCTGAAATGTGGTGTATACTTAGGAACTTTTAATTCCCTCGGTAACACCTAGGCCTATGAGGCACACACCCGGTTACTGATAAAACTTTTTGTCATCTGTCAACTATCAGGGATGTGCAGAAGTTGGTTACTTTGAGGAGTGAGAAATTTGATGTTAACTGCACGATAGTTAGGCCTTCTGTTATAACGTCACGTGATCGTGCGTTACCCTTGACCATGACTATGCTGTCGCTTTGACCTTGACATCACAGAGTCTTGTGAATAATAAACAGAGGGGCTGGACACCACTGCCTATGGTTTGTTTTCGGGCAAACAAGGTGTTATTTCCCTGTCTAGACGGCGAGAGTTAATGACATACCATAAATACATAAAAAAAGAAAATGCTCTTATTATCCAATATCCTTGTCAGTATGAACAGTACACTCGGTTTTTTTTTTACTTCTCATAACAATTGAACACTCTGATTTTTCTCTTCCGCGATCCCTTGCCCGTATAAGTTTTAAACCACCAATGGTTGTATTCTCTCATCATGAGGTGTAGGCTTTATTGACCACGAAGGCAGGTAGTGCATTTACGTCTGCAAAAGACAGTGCTCACAGAGATGTCATCTTGTTTTATTTCCATAGGCGCGCCGAGGAATGAAGGGTACTACTACCCAAATATCAAGAGATGCATCCAGGGTCACGTCAAAAGGTATAGCTAGTTTATTTATTTGTAGTGAATATGCACAATGCCTTGGTGTTTTTAATATGGAAATGAGTAGTATATTTATAGATATAGAACTGTATGCATTTATTTTATGGTCTTTTATTGATGCACTTGCTCTGTCAAGCTACCATTTTCTGTCTGGTTAGGCGCAAGGCCTTTTCAATATATGCATAGATCTATTATTAGCAATGCGGGGAAAAGGAAAAGTCTTCGCAATATGTTTTTTCCCCTACTCACTTGAGCTTCACACACACACCACGCTTTAAAAATGTTCAAATGCCCTTGTTTTCGTTCATTTATTGCATAATGTAAATATTTCATCATTTTATGCTCTCTGCAAAAAGTAAATATAATTATTTAAGTTGTAGGATTTCTAAAGTCTGAATATAAATTCTGAACAGATTATTAAAAATTATTAAAAAGACAGTATTTCTCATAAGTATCTGTAAGTAGTTTGGTTAGTAAGTAGATTTGTTTTGTGTAGCACTATTTTTGTTATTAATTTGATAGAAATAATTGTATTGTGTTGACTATAATTTTAATAACACTTGCTGGTTTTACATATGACAGATGGTGGTATTATAATATAGAAATCTGTTAGGTAAATTTGCTGTGCTAATTTTTGTCGTGTAACAACTGCTTTTCACCACTGCATTGGTTTATTAATTGCAATCTCAACAACAAACGATGTTGTAATAATATGCCCCTAAAACAGATTCTTAGCTTGCTGTCCACATTGATTTAAGCACATACGTATACATTAAAAAAAAAAAAAAAAAAAAGGATATACGCATAAAGCAGGGACGCTTCTGGTGGCACATATCTCTACCAATGCTGGAATCTGAGAACAATAAATATAGAAATAAACTATCTTCAGAACTATATGGTTGTGATCAATGTGCTACTTAAATAATAGATGTTTAATGCGAAAGGCCTGTTCAGCCAAACACACGGGCTCACGTCAGTTTTTTTTTTGTTTTTTTTCGCCGATTCTAAACAGACCAGCTGGAATGCGAGGAGAGAGATCAGCGGGTTGAGAAGAAAGGGGGCTGATAACCTCTGGTGGCGTATGGTGGAAATATCAGGAAGTGAGCAGTGTAGATTCAGCACGAAGACACATGCTTTGCAGCGGTCTTTATGTAGACAATTTGTATCTGGCGCACGTCCTCGTACAGGATATGTGTGTTTAATTTAAGAGGAAGGTAACTAATAAACTACTAATATGTAGCTTATAGTATATATTTGAATTATTTGCTAGTGTTCATGGAAAGGCATGGGGACGCACTTTGAATTGAATAGGGTCGTTTATTGAAATATGGTGCGGCTGATTTAATTCCCAACTGTATTTAATATGTATTTAATATTTTATACATGTGTTATATATTATATGTTATATAGATATATATTGTAAATGCATCTCTTAAAATGAGACGCAGATTTGCGTCTGTAAATGTTTTTGTTTCTCTTTGTATTTTGTAAAATTCCCAGCTCGAAGTATATAATTGCATAGTACCTGAAAATAAAATAATAAATAAATAAACAAATACATTTAGAAACAAAAGGTTCAATCTGAGTTCAGGTTTGCAATTTTCAAACTCCGTAAGTGTTTCGCAAACATCCTATTAATTTGTTTAATCACTTTACCATGTTCTTTTTCTTTACATTCAATTTATATCGACTTAATTTAAGCAAACTTCCTACCTGTAATTGTAGTAAAACTGATAAATATGCAATAGTGCAAGCGCAAGCACTTTCATTTGTGTGTTCATACACACTTTTTTTCTGGAAGTTGCGTAACAGTCGCGTTTTTATTTCTTTATACGTGTCTTTGTAAAGTTGCGATTGAATTAAATTGTCATGATTTTAATTTACTATTACTGTAGTGGCCATTACTATTATTAGTTTTCATTGTCTGTTGGGATATCCAACTGTCATCAAACTGTCCTTTCTTTAAATTGAGTTTAAGTATTCTAGAACTTGAATTTTGCATTTAATTCACATTTAATGCACGTTTTTCCCTTTAAGAAATTGGCCTTGGAGGACATTCACCGCAAGGCATTCAGTTGAGCCAACCTGTCTTCCAAAATCAAAGACAATAAAAGGCCTTTTGTTTACGCTATGGCCCTGTCTGGACGGAAAAGTGATTCCAAGACAGCAATCTCAGAGCGGCGCAGACAGTGCACTAGACACTGACCTTGAACTAACAACTATTTTAGCCATTTTCCAGAGATTTTGGAGATTTCAACTTTGGCCATCCTTGCGGTAAGAAAATATAATCATTTTACTGTGTCTAAGCGATATTATTCGAGAGAGTCAGGTTGTTTTAAGCGATTTTTTGTGACTGAATTAAGTTGTTGAAATGTCATTCATTCTCATGGAGAACCAGTCACTCACTCATCAACTTGTTTTGCTCTCTGTTGTGCTCTTGGGGGAAATAAAATATTCTCACTACAACTAATCAGAAATAACTAACAAAATAACTGACTAGTTTATTAATTAGCATGAGTGTTTTCTCAAAGTAGTAACTAAATTTCAGGTCTCTATAGTATCATATTTCGTAATTACTTTTATGTTTAACACAGAAATGTCCTGATATTTCCAACGTTGGATATTTTAGTAAAATATCTGATAGCATTTAAAATTTATATGCACGGAGTGTTGCATAGCATGTTAATTGGTTACATGAATCTGGTATAAAGTACTCTAGCCGTAAAACATGCACATGTGTGCCTAAAATTTGGATGCAATAATTCTTGGGCAATTTAGAGGACAACGTTTGTAGTCTTTGTTGTTTTGAGTCTCTGTTATAGGTGTTACGTCAATATTTGTAATGAGTTGAACACCGGATTTCCTTTCGCAGTATTTTTGCATTTATAGCCTATACCCATCGCCATTAATGAAACTGTTTGTGGTTATTTTGCTTTTCTCGGTTTATTTGAAAGTAGATTAAACAAAAATAAATAAATAAGTTGGCCATGATCATAATTACAATCACGCCCCCACACAGATACACTGACACAAACTTTAGATTGGCAGCAAACGCAAAGTTACTGTGCTACTCAAAGACTCATGTAGGAAAATGTAAATTATTCAAATGAAAGAACAATTGAAGTATAATTTGCTCACACATATATATATATATATATATATATATATATATCAGCATGAGCATGGGCAAGAGTACGCAAGCGCGTAAAAAAGACAGTTGTTAAAAAAGTTATGAAGGTATATATTAATCAATCTATTTTTTTTATGTCAACTGTATCCATATCTGAAAACCTTTAACTTGTAATGGTTATTCGCATTCCAAAGTAGAGATAAAAAAGTATACATTTCAAAACAATATTTTGTGACACTACATGCACTCAGATTAAAAATTAACATTTAAAAAATAATTGTATTTATAACATTGATTTATAATTAATACATTGGGAAAATACTATTTAAAAACTAAAGGCCTGAAAGATTAGATTAACACTGAATTAGCATAATATCAATTTTGCGTTACGTACACACTCCAGTGTGAGACAGATGGTTTAATGCGTACTGTTATTATTGTCCTTTTGTCATAATAATCTCTTTCATCGCCCCATTTTGTTCTTAATACACACGTGACAATTACACTGCGTTGCAGTTGATATGAGGGATATTTGCATGTACTTTATATATCTACAATCAAAAATCAATTAATGCGATCTAGTGTGGTGTATTTGGAGCGGCAGAATCATTTTAATGCCCTCTGTCAGCTTGTAAAATTCAAATAAAAGAATTGTGAGATGTGTAACAATCCTCCATGAGTTTGACTACGAGCATTTATAGGATGTATCTGTTAAAGTTGTACATGTGAGGTGTACTAGAGCATATTATCTAAAATATAGGCTACGGTCTTAAAAAAAAAACTTATAGAATATCATCTTCTTTTACGGAGCCAATGGTTTCAACCTGCTGACCCCACTACAGTAAATATGAGTGGAGTTCAGCACTGAGCATCAGTATTTCTTTAAAACAAGCCTGTAAAAGATGAACATCACATCTTTATATGACACTAAATTCAACCGTAATTTGTTTGAAAACAATGGTGAAAGAACCCTCTGTTTCGATGAAAAAATGATCTCTTGATCTCGTTTTGGTGGAAAATTTTTATTTTTTTTATTTTATTCATTTATTTATTCATTTTTGCCAGGTAATAAAGATTAAACGAGGCCAGGGACACTTCTATATATTTCTAAACAGGGAAGTGAAAGACGATCCGTTTAGAACCTTTGAGCTAGAGGAAATGAAAAAACAAGATTTAACATTTTAATAAGATATTTTATAGTATTTTTAAAAAGCATATAAAACCCGTAATACAAAAGTTAATGTTTTGTTTTGTCTGAAATGGACAAAGTGGGTGGTACCTTCTAGTGTTCGAGTAAGCTCCGGCACGTGACGTGGAGATGACCAATCAGGTGCACCTCCAGGTTTAACTACGTTAAATGTCAGATTGCAATAAACTAGAAGCTGTTGGTCTGGCCCGCGGAAATGGGCGAGCATAATCTTCTTAATCCTGGGTTTGTGGGACCTTTGGTAAACATCCACACTGGAGACAGGTTTTACTTCCCGAATTTTAGAGCCTCAGGGGGACAGCTGGCGGGGCTACCGTCTCTCTCGTACCCTAGAAGGGACAATGTTTGCTCTCTCCCGTGGAATCCATCGGAGTCGTGCAATGGATATCCTCAGTCTTACTTTAGCAGTCCCGTATCCATTAACCCCTCTTTTAATCGATCTTGTGAAATTACCCGACTGGAGGAAAGCAAGTGTTATTATGGCAATTCCAGCAGCACCAGAGAGCCGTGTTCAGACAGCAACAATCTCAAACGAGAGGAGCGAGCAAGAGATACATTATTATCGTCTGATCACGGGATGCACAATGGGATGGGCAACAGTGGCACCTTCTCAAAGTATGATTATGGCACCGAGCAACTGACCCAAGACCCGCCATCCTGTCAGTCCTTGGAGTCCGACTCCAGTTCTTCAGTGCTAAACGAAGGAGGAAAGACTTCAGCAGGCGACCCACAAACCCTGCTATCGCAAGGAAACCACGCAAGCAATATCGCCACTGGAGGAGGTTTGTCCCTCGCATTTAATCTCAGCTGAAAGACAACAGAAGCACATAGTACAATTACTCGTATCTTGCTCCAGCAATTTTTTTTTTGCATGACAGTTTATTTAGGCATTCCCTGGCAACTGTTATGATTTTCCTGCATGGATCTTGCGTGGCTGTTCAAGGCCACTAGGGGTTGCCCTAAAATGCTCCATGTTCACCAGTTTAAGCGCTCAGTCATTTATACAACCAGTAAACACAACATCATAAAATTCAGCAATCTCGTTGCCAATGTTTGACGCCGTTTACATAAAAAGCATAGTCATTGTTGTTAAATATACGTTTGGCCAAAGCTTTCGCGTTATTTTAGTAAGTAGAACAGATCTGTAAAATGGCAGTTGCTTTGACAGAAATGAGGACGTTTTTTAATGACTCGTAAACTGAATTAATATCGTTGTCGTGCTGCAAGTCATTTAATATGCCTTGAAACCGCTAAATAGGTAGGGTTCTTGCAAACAGGACAATTATCGCGTTACTGTACGTTTACCTAGAACGGTAAAACATTCTAAGGCATTAATTCTGCGTAAACCGATAAATTCATCATATCGACATCTTGCATTTTACTTCAGATTGTTATTGAATAACGTCTATTTGTCATGTGAACAGCCTCACAAAATGCACCAGAAAATTGTATTTTACGTGGCTTCGAGATGTGGAGAGATTTTGATGTGCTGGCCTAGGAGATGGTTTGAAGCTCTCTCATGAACCCGTGCTTTGCCCCCTCTAGGTGCCCCATGGTACCCGATGCACACCCGGACGCGCAAGAAGCGAAAGCCCTATTCCAAACTGCAGCTGGCCGAGCTTGAGGGAGAGTTCATGCTGAACGAGTTCATCACCCGGCAGCGACGTAGGGAGCTGTCTGACAGGCTCAATCTCAGCGACCAACAGGTTAAAATTTGGTTCCAAAATCGGCGGATGAAGAAAAAGAGACTGTTGCTAAGGGAGCAGGCTTTGTCCTTCTTTTAAGGAGGCACAAAATATACATTGCTTAATGGTAGTCCAACAACAGTATTTAGTTAATGGTAATCTGCCATTGGCCCATTTTACTCTGAAAGTCTTGCCCCACGATGCATTCAGAAAACGCGAATAAGAATTCAAACATAATAGGGGTATGCGACCAAATGATGGCTCCAGAAGTCTGCTTATACAGTGTGGTCTATGTAGTGTTTATTTAAGAGTGTTCGTGGCCAGAAATGTTGGGCAATACGGTGGGAATGTTTTAGTTTAAGTTTTGAAAGTAACAAGCTGTCTAAGCCATCAATCACTTTATTAAGTAATGAACTGCTAGTTAGAAACTCAGACAAATATAAGCTGTGAGATAGTATTTCGGACAAGTAAAAAGTTTTCTTATTAGTCTGAAAAGATTGCTAAATATTTATTGTCGGAGTGTTAAAACAATTTTTGTAATTATAACATAACACTCGTGCCATGATCAGTGTTCGAAGCTAGAAAAAACGCCATACTTGGTCATAACGAGAATCCTTAACTGTTCGCAATCTCCCATCTATGTTTTATTTAGCCAGTTATCGCTAAGAAAGGGCCTTACAAATTCAGTACTCGACAATAAGAAGCGTGGGCAGCGTTATGCCATCAACGTCTTATCTCCGTTCTGCAGTCATCGCCACGTGTTCTATGGCACGTTCACGGTCACGGGCACAAAGTTAGTGACCCAACTCATATCTTGGGCCCTTGAGAACCAAACTGCAATTACAGAGCAGCTTTTATGAATAGACTTTGATCTAGCCTGTGAAATGTCATTCTGACTACTGTTAGGAAGTTTCTTTCTACAACTAGATATTGGCCAAAGTGTAAATTGGTAGGCCTGCAACTAAGCCGCACACACTGCTAATAAAATATGTATTCATGATATAGTGAAAAACTATAGGTGTCTCTATCATATTTGCATTTTTAACAGCATTAATTTGCCATTAACGATTGCTTGTCCCTTGATCTGCGTTATTTGGACATATTCGCTTAGGTTTAGTTAATTAATTCACAACAACAATGCTTCTGGGAGCGAAATGCATGGTCAAGTAATATTAAGAAGACGCGCAAGTATAAATTAAAACAAAGGTTACGTCATTTATAAGTGTAATGGAAGTAGCAATCATACTGAGGAGACCAGATCTAAATCCCAAAAATCACAAGCCTGTTTTGCTAATTAGCGGGACCCATTGTGTAATTTGAAACATTATTTACTAAACTCATGGATTATATGTCAGTGAAATAGTTAATATTTGCTGCATGATTATAGTGACTGTAGTTAGAAGGTAAAAAGCAAATGTTTTTCCGACTATTTTTGGTCAACAAGGCGCATGTTTTATTTCAAAACACCTTATCAGAAAACTGAAAAGAACGTTTAAAATATACGGTCAAGAAAATGGTTAAAAGTTGGTTTCATATAAAATATAGTTTATTCGTTTGTGCTTTATTATTATTATTATAAACGAATTTGGCAGAAGTCGGTGCTACGTTATTTTTATTTTCTTGTTATTGGTCTGATAGTTCGGCGACTTGCATTTTCTTTAAATCCTATTTTTGTGAATCTATAGAAAATACAAATACAATTATATGAATGGCATCATCAGCAACTATATAACAATGATCGTCACGTTTCCCCCTTTGGATTGTTTTGTGAAATTGCCTCTGATGTATAATTTTTCTGTGTTGTTCTGTGTAATTTTGTGAATGCACCAGTGTCGCACTCCTTTGTACCTTGCGATTAAAAATGTCTTGTAAATAATGTTACGAGTTCATGAATGTATCCATATATGTGTAACCTACAGTTTCTGAATAATAAAATCTTTAAACTTACTTTTATTTACCTGTCCTGATGTATGTGTTGTGGAAACCATATGAATTTTAGTATTTGAATCGAGTAAATTTGTTACCTAAGCATATTTTTATATTCAATAGCAGAAAAGCCGACTCAGGCGCTCGAACTACCGTTTTCAGAAATATTTCATTACAAATTAGATGTACATTAATGCGCTTGACACCATCCTTATTTTGATCATATTGGCTCTTAATTATTTCAGTATAAGGTCACTACATGATACAATTTGTTGGAACACTCAAGAGAAAACTCTAAAAATGCAATCTGAATGTTTGCCAACATGGCCACATGTAGTGCAACAATATTGATATGCTTTATCTAGTGGTTAAAAATGGTAAAGACATCCACCTAGTGGATAAATGGAACAGACGCCGAAACAGGGCCCCGTGAGGACTAACTGCAATGACATGAAATGCTTTGCGTGCCTGTTTTGTACCTGTGTTTAGTTAAAAACTTTTTGGAACGTGTTTCAGCCTTTTGCTAGTTCATTGCTAAAATATCTAGTGTGCGTAGATTTCCTTTTGATTGCTAGGATTTAGATTTTTGCTTGACGATTACTTTTAATTGCTCACGCACAAAAATGCATTAGAATTTTAGGACCAACCTGTAATCTAATGTTGATCATGAGTTAAACATTGTTAAACCAAATGTAATATGTAACATATTATTATTAATATTATTTTCTTGTAACGTGTTTTTTTAATAAATTTTTTGTATTTAAATTAATAGAGAATCACTGAAGATTCAGTCGAATGGAAATAAAGCGGATCTTAGGGTAGAGATGGTTCCAAAGCCAAAGCTTAGTGTCAAGTCTATTGGCTTCCTTGCAAGCAAATGCGCTGCAATCGTAACAATGGCATTTTATGCGCTTGGGGCGCTTTTGACTTTGAGACTGACCAAATCTGTTTATGACGACTCGTCTCCCCGGCTCAGAGGTCATTGAGCACCTCAGTGCCCTTCACACACAACTTGTGTAGTCATGTGGTTCACTAAGTGCTCTAGATCTCCTCTGCTCCCATCACAAACGTGTAGAGACTGGAGAACTTACTTCTGGCGTCGCTTGCACTACACACACGTTTGTGAGTGTGTGTGTGTCTGTGAAAGGGGGTTTACGTGTAACTAAGAGAGTGAGAAAAATTTCTTGACAATGAGTAGTTTTATAAACACTCTCTATAAACGTGTATACGCTCGCCTTAACCTGCTAGTAACTTAAATATTTAGCTTATGCAACGGTTTGATTACTTTTGTATTTAAGCAGCATCAACATTTGCTTGGCCTAAAAAAAGACGTATAGACGAATAATCACAATCATTGCAACCGCACTGGAAAAATGACGTCCTTTCAGGCTCATTTCATCTGAATAAAAAGATTATTTTAAAAACGAAGTTATTGGCACATTTATTAGTTGTATTGTGCAAAAAAATGTGCTAATGCAGAATACGAATCTTGTAAATTAGTTCCAAATTGTAGTTTGTAATGTTTCTTAAAATATTGATATTGGTCTTAGTTCGACTGGTCTTAGTTCTTATAGGTTCTGCATGACAGTTGTTGTTTGAGCCGTATCTTCTCTTGCAACGATACAGTTTTGGCAGTAGTGATGGAGGAGACTAGTTCCTTCTTCTATTATTTTCTTCGTCTATGTGGTATTTGCCTGGAATAATTAACTTATTAAATTAAGTTTGGAATAATCATCACGTATTTTATTTTTTTGTTCGTTTTATTTTTATTTATTCACTTTATCTACTTGTAGCGTCGTTTAATTACTCGCAGCAACGTCAACTTTCATTACAGTTGCATTTAATATTTAATATACGAATAAAAATTGTACTTAACAGTTTTTTTTCTTAGCAACCGACATGCATTTTAGCATACTGGTATATTGCTTTTGGATTGTTTTAAGCATTTAACATATCAACAAATCAAAAGTTGCTTAAGCTATGGGACGTTTTTCTATTACTATAAAGCTTCGGCACAACGTCAAAATGTCCACAACAACAGCATGTATACTTATTGCATGTCTGTTTTATTTTTTATTTTTATTTTTTATCTGCTATTACGAAACAACTGTAAACCATGATGTTTGTATTTGTATACTAAATATATCACTGCTTCAACCAGTATCAGACCTTATTCCCTTGTAGTAATTTTTAGGATTAGAAAATATTATATGCTACAGCGTGAGGGTACAATTGCATAGAAAAACGATACACATATTGAAAATAGGGCCCCGTTACATGTTTGTCATATGCAGAACATCTGCAAAACAACCAACCTGAGCAAAAAAGAAGAAAAAAGTGTTGCCGCGTCAAAGAAAAAAATTAATTGTTCAATTAATGTTACTTCATAACTAAGTATTTCATAACCAAGTATTCAGTTTGGAAGAAAATAACTTCATCTGCAAACAATTGGTTTGACTGTTTATACAATGTTTGGGGCCTTCTTTCCGATCCCACCCATTGCGTTAGCCCTGTCTTAGTGGGCGGGAGCAACTTTCAAATTGAAGGTCAAGTTAGTATGTCCAATATATAGGAACTAAGTTTCCAGTACCATTGGTGTAGACAAAATTCAAGCATTAATATGAAGTTAAGGTACACCAGATATTTCACTGAATTATACAATTAATTTATGTAATAATTGCGTTGAGGGTGCATTACCATTTCAACTCATTTAGTAATGCGAAAACGATTCATATAACAACAAATTTGTATAACCACCCTTCATAAGAAATTATCCGCTTAATAGTCTTTGACAAAAATAGCCATTTTCTTGCGATGTAGCCAAGCAAAGTATTTTAAGTAAGTTTAATTATTTGGTGGACGGGGCGAACATAGGCATTTCCAATGTTTGTTGTGTCAAACCTTTGAATGAATCCTAAACTTAGACCCATCTTCAAAGTGATTATACCATTAATATCCAGATATTCGTGTGTAAGTACATCAGTTTGCGGAGTAAGGTCCTAAAAATAATTACTGTGATTTTTGCTAATGTAGTAGGGTATCCTGTAATAGTTTTAAAAAGGCCATATATACAAAAAAAGAAGAAAAACGCCACTAGAGTGAAAGCACAATGCTTTCAGACATACCCTGAGCATGAGCGTTGACCTTTTGTTATTTAAAAACGCTATGTTGCTTATAAACAAAGTCGTGCAGCAGCCACGCGGTGTCATATTAAAGGTTTTGTTGCGAGTACATACCTTTATCTTGTCATCAACATGCCATGGGCCGGAAATCTGGTTTCCGCATCCGCAATAAATGCCATTCAGTTTACGGTCGTCGAATCAGTTTGATCAACAAATATTAAGCAAACATCTCGGTAGATTATGTAAGCAGTATGACTGAAGTGGCATTTGTAAAAAGAACGAATGCGTGCGCTAAATATTTCCAGTCTTTTTCCTGGCAAAAAGTAAAGTAGATAAAATAAATAACAAAAACATAACTTGACAAAAATACCTAAATTCTATAGCCATTTTTGAATAAGATCAATTTAATTGCTGGATTGTACCCAATTTCAGCTTGCTGAGGCGCCTCTGCTACAATGAAATGAGCCGTATAGCAACGGAAACAGCCGTACAGAGAAAGCGTATTGGTGCCTTTTTCATATGTTTGTTTGATATAGCTAATTTTGATTTTGGAGTTACGTGTTTTAATTGTTTTTTTTTTGTGAACGTACTCAAGTTTTGCAATTTAGTGCGATTTACCAGATAATGTTATGGGACGTAACTACTTAAAATTATAATCACTGTGGTAATAAGACTGTTGAATAAGATTGTTCTGACATGAAGAACAAACGATGCATATTTAGAGAGGGTTTTCTACTGCATGCATCATGCACCCATTTTCTGTGCTATTTCCGTGTCATGGATTAAAGGTTACAATGAACGTTTGGTGAGTCCAAATAAAATGGTTATTCTGAAATTGCATGTATATATACACATTGTAGATTTGAAACCCAGGTATACAGTTGATGTTTTTAAAATATTGTTATTCAAAACAAAATCAATTTATTCTTTTATAATAGTAAAAGAAACGATAACCTTACTTTAGACGCTTTTTGAGGCATAATCTGCGTGATATCTGCAAGACAATGGAAATATAATTTCTTCCTATTATTATTACTATTATTATTATTATTATTATTATTATTCGAACAAAGCGCAAAAGTCCGTAACTGCTGTATCAGTCGAGTTTTGGAATTTATGTTCCGGATGTGGAAACACATGAAAATAACTGCATACAGCAATAGTATTTATGTGTACCAGTATATAGAAACAATGCTGTGTTAATATAGGCCTACCCATATGTGGGGGGTGGGGGGGGGGAATAAAAGTCTTCCTATATGCGGCAAAGACCATAACTTTTTGTCAAAGACCGGTGTGTGCGAGGTTGTTCTTTTAGGCATAAATAGCTATAGCGTATCTTAAAACGATTTATCAGTTTGCACCCCCTCAGTTTGTACGCAAATGTACACAGTTAGC